CTTGAAGTCAGAGTAAAGATAGGGGCTGGCGAGGAGTGTGGCAAACCAGAGGCTGATGTAAGCCCAGCTGAAAAACAGCCTCTAATGCTGCCCTGAGCAAATGCCAGCTCTGGTGGAATCTCTAGGTTTTCAAGAGAAACCACAAATCTATGGCTTTTAATGGGACATATCTGGTTTATAAATGTTGGCAATCGATTCAAATTATTTAAAACACTACACAAGTGAAACCTTTTTGGAGGCTCAATAGTAAGGCCTCTTCAACTTTTCCCCTCTCCTCTTTCCAAAGCTAGATCCCATTCCCAGACAAGCTGAGATGCTGCTAGTGCCCCTGTGACTGTCCCTTGAGGCCCCCGGCAAAAATGAGGATTCTCGGCCCACACTCCTCCTGCTCATCTCAATGGCTCTTAACCTAAGTGGCCCCATATTGTCCCTTCTCTCCCTTGCCACTCCCTATATCTAGATTGGAAGATTAATGACTTTGGCACTTTGGGAACGTGACTTCTTCCTCTACCTATTTGATTTGTTCATTCTTCCCCAGCCCTCCTTCTTCCAAGCTCTGCTTCCAGTGCCAACGCCTCCAGGTCATTCCCTCCAGTTTTGCTCTTGTTCACCTGCCTGCATTCTGGTTAGGAAAACCCAATGCCTTTAGAATCTGACTCGCCCGCATTCAGATTTGAATTCCATCACTCACTAACTGAACTTGGCCCATGATATGTCATCTTTTTTAGGCCTTGGTTTCCACATCTATAAAACAGGAATAATACCGGTCCCTGTGCACTGGGTTGCTGTGATGATTAAAAGAGTTAATTTTACAGGGGGGCCCTTAACCCAGTGCCTGTAACTGCTTAATTATTACCAATCGTTGGCTGTTAACACTACTACATGTCATCATACATCCGTTCACGCTCCTATTACACAAACAGCAGCCCTCTACCAGAGTTTTTCTGAGCTGCCTATCTTAGGAAATTGTGAACTCTTTTTTTTTTTTTTTTTGGTCAGTATCGGTATCCGAACCCTTGACCTTGAACTCTTTTTAGGTGAGAATAACTTCTTGTTCAATGTTTGTACTCCTCTTGGCTGTTAAGTGAAAGTAATAGTAATAATGGCTAATCTTTTTATAGCACTGAGTATGGGCCGGCACTGTTACCACTTCATTTAATTTTCATAACCACTCTATGATGTAAGGACTATTACTATCATACGACCATTACCTAGATTAAGAAACTGAGTCACAGAAACATTAAGCCACTGGACCAAGGTCACAGAGCTGGAAAGTGGGAATTGCAGTGATGACTATAAAATGTAAGCTAGGGATCTGCAAGCTACCATCCAATCTGGGTGTGGGTTTTGTAAATAAGGTTATATAGGAACACAACCATGGTCATTTATTTCTATATTGTCTATGGCTGTGTTCACACAATGATTGGCAGAGTTGAGTAGCTGCAACAGAATCCATATGAACTACAAAGACATTGGTCCTTTACAGACAGTTTGCCATCCCCTGATCTAGGAAGTCTGACTTTGGAGTCTATCCCCTTAACCACTACACAGACTGCCTCCTGGGCTCTCAGCAAGTCATGATGACAAATGCAATTGTGTCTTTTTTTTATCTGGTGGCTGGCTGGTGTGGTGAACTGAACCCTTTACCTTGGTGTTATCAACACTGTGTTCTAACCAACTGAACTAACTGGCCAGCCTCTATGCAATTGTGTCATGACCCTCCAACTAGATGTGTCCTTTGGAGGAAAGGAACATGACCCTTTTTGGCTACAATTTTTTATACCAATACTTTTTTTTTTTTGACCGATAAGGGGATCACAACCCTTGGCTTGGTGTTGTCCACACCACGCTCAGCCAGTGAGCGCACCGGCCATCTCTATATAGGATCCAAACCTGCGGCCTCGGTGCTACCAGCGCTGCACTCTCCCGAGTGAGCCATGGGGCCGGCACTATACCAATACTTTTGGATTTTATTAATGAACATTTGCCTCAAGAACTAACCAGTAATGTAAGAGCCAAAAAGTGACTCTTGGAAGACAATACTGAAGTAAATCTTTATAAATTGGGGTGAGGCAAAGCTTTTTGAGATAGGACATTAAAAGCTCAAATGACAGGCCGGCCCGGTGGCGCACTGGAGAGTGCTCCGCTTGGGAGCGTGGCGGCGCTCCCGCCTAGGGTTCGGATCCCATGTGGAGACCAGTTCC